AGTGCTTATACATAAATATATATTGTGTAATATATGAATTACATATATATATTACACATACACACACACACATATATATATATATATATATATGCATCTGGTGAATAACCATAGGAAATTAATAATATTCTATTTAAATAACATTTAACTATAATTTGAAACTTCCAGGATCACTATACTGTTCAGGTAGTAAAACTAATCAGGGCTCATTGTTTAGATCTTTGAGTTTCTGTTTGTGCCGATACTCAGTGAGTTCCGCAAGATTTATTTAGCGTTACCTTAAATACCTCAAATATAGTGTAAAGGTCTTTATTTGGAAATGAAGTGTCAAGTGTAGGTGTTGTTGGCACATTGCAGTTTAACACAAACAGCTAATCTATTGACATCGACTGTAAGTAAGTAAAACTTTATTTATATAGCACCTTTCAAGATAAAAATCACAAAGTGCTTCACAGAAGCTAAAACCTTAAAAAAATCAACCAAAAGCAAGTTTAAAAAGATGAGTTTTTAGCTGTTTTTTAAAAGCGACCACTGAGTCCACAGATCTCAGGCTCAAAGGGAGAGAGTTTCACAATCTGGGGGCCACAGATGACACTATGACTAAGACTGTGGCTTAAATTTATGTGCACTTGGCAGCCAATCAAATTATTGCATTTTCTGTCAGTGACAGAAGAATTTTCCAATTGAAACCAATTAATTTCAGTCTTACGCTCTGCTCTGCAGCTCCACCCCTGTCATCTTAAGTAAACATTTTTCTTCTTCCTTTTGGGAAGAGCTTGTTCCTTGCCAAACCCAGGCTATTGTCTTCCTCCTATATGCATGTGCGCGCACACACAAGACCGGAGTCAATTGGATTATTTCCATTTCTAATCTTTAATCTAATTTTAAGTGCTTATACATAAATATATATTGTGTAATATATGAATTACATATATATATTACACATACACACACACACATATATATATATATATATATATGCTCCATTTTAATGTTTTGAAGCATCGCAAAATATCTGGCCCAGTGTTTAGCTTACACACAAAGCTCATGTTATCTAAATCCAATTTAAACCTTCCACTTAAGATGCCAGTATGCCAAAAAAAAAGTGATGCAAAAGCAAAGAAATTAACAAACACAAATTTTGCTGGGAGGTCTTTATGTTAATGATAATGTCTAATTTTAAATCAGCATTGGATTTATTCTTAAAATGCACACACTACTTACTGTGAATTATTGTCACACTAAAAACTAAAGTCACTGTCAGATGCTTTCCAGGTGCTGTTCCATGTTGGATCTGATGGCACTACAGTGCTCATAATTCCAGCAATTTTGACAAGCTCTCCAACACCACTGGCTGAAATGCAGCTCAAAACCATGACAGAGCTTCCACCGTGTTTTGTGGATAGCTGTGCACTAACTGTAACTCTCTCCTGACTTACCCCATTGATATTGATGTTTCGAACCACAAGAACTTAATTTTCAGTCAAGTTCTTTTGTAATCTAGTATACCTCAGCATTTTTGCCATGTTTCCCTTCATTACAATGGATTCTTGACAGCCACTGAATGGTAAATTGATCAACAGAAGGGCCAGACGCATCTTTCATGTCCCGCGTCAGGTCTTTGTTGGATTTTTTTTAAGGATAATGACTCCCTTACTGTTCATCTGCTGTAGATAGTTTTTAGGCGTACACTTGTTCAGTTTCTTCAGATTTTTTAAGGACGCACTACGCAACCTGCTGGGACATGTCAACTTTTCTGTAAACAGCTCCTTAGAAATCACCCTGTTGGGTTTTTTTTTTTTCATAGATTCAACCAAAGAAACAGGAACAAACCATGTGTTTTTGTGACGGGCTAGTAAAGAGTTTCTAAAGCTATAATTTAAACTTGGTTTCTTGCTAAATTGTTTGTTATGTGGTTCATCTTTTGTTTTACAGCATATGTGCCTGGAATGATTCATAGGTCACTGTTGTGTCAAGTGGCTTAAACAAAAGTTCCCTGAAAATGGTCAGGTACAAGGACTGAACTAAAATCAAGTGAAAAAGAAGCCAGTGTCCAAGGAAAAACTTTGAAAGGCCTTCAGAAAACCTGGAAAACAAGCTCACTTTAAAAAATACAAGAAAGTCTTGGAAACAAACTATAGGGGAGTCAGTAAATCTTTATTAACATCACCAAGGAGGTTGTATTTTTATGTTTGTGTTGCTGTTTATTGATTGGCCATGCTGATTTTCATGAACCTTGGTGAAGAGGAGTGGAGACAAAGAAGGAATTGTAGAACTTTTCCAGCATCTCTAGTTTTGCCTTAGAATAGTGTCATACCCTTCGACTTTACTAGTTTATACTTATTATTTTTAACATTATTATTTTCGGGACAGCTGTTTCCATGTAAGTCACAATTAAGTAGAATATTGAAAAAACCTTTATTACTAACCACACCTTAGACCATATTTTTAAACTGCGCATTATGTTTTATACTCTTGTAACTGTGAAGCATGTGCAAAAAGAAGATGCATTTACATTTTAGGACTTTTATAGAGTATGTTTTCAGAAAAACAAAAAGTTGAGATAGGCTTTCACAACAAGCACAACTATAGCTTGTGGAAGTGAAATATTAGCAGTTTCTTATGATCAAATTATAGTCAAATTACAGAAGTAATGTAATACCAGGCTCTGCGGCAGCAACAACCTTTAAATATGTTGTAATACAGTCTAAACACTTTACAATTTATATAATAATAATGATGATGATGATGATAATAATAATGCCTCACCTTTGGTAAGATAAACATGCATTTAGGGATGGGAATCGAGAACCAGTAGTCCAATTCCTTGGAGTTAGTCTACCTGCCTATTGATCCCGCTTAGCAGTTTTTGCGCTTGTGCCAGTCATCTGATTTCAGCTTAACTGTGAGAGGTGGAAAATAGCAACACAGTCTAGAGCATGGATATGGACATTTATTTTATTATTGCACAAAAGGACAAGATAAATGGTAAAGTGGAAAACTGCATCCAGGACAGAAACAACCGCATTATGCTGCTAACACAACTTGTTTTTTGCAAACATCTCCACAGATAGCATGCTAACGCTAAGCTAGCCAAGAACCCAGAGGGAAAGCTGAGTGAATGCTGACCCCAGCAGCCAGACCCTGAACTTCAACGGGTAACAAGCAGATAAGCAGTCAGGCTGCAGTCTCACTTTTTACCTGTTCACGTTTCTAAAGCAGAATCACTGTGACAATCGCTTTTTTGTGCTGGTTTTCATCTTTGAAAATTAAGTAATTAAGTAGCTACTGCATTATTTTTTAAGAAGAGTGTTCTGTGTAATATGCGTAATAATTATTTTTTGAGTAAGACTCCAACACTGATCACAACAAACATGCACAAACATTTGACCCACAGCATAAAATTAATTCACATGAATGTAATTTCTTTATTGCTACTTAGAAATGGTGGTGACCTTAAAAAACCAATGATGACTCAATGAGAATCGATAAGTGATATCGATATCACATCATGCATCCCTACATGAATTAGTTAAATACAACATGTTGCAACACTGAGGAAACTCTAGTGTGATGGCGTGTTTTGCAACAACAGAGCAAAGTTGTGACAACATCAAATTGGGCTTTGCAATTTTTGTTTGTGGGGTTAGTTTAGGGTGCACACAGTCTCAGGTCTTCTACTTTTCGCATCCCCTACAAAATAAAAGCACAAAGCTAATACAGGACAAATGCTCAGAGATGGTAAGAACTTAAAGTAGTAATAAAATAAAATAAAATTAGATTATGAAAATATAATGAAATGAAAATTGTAATAGTGGAAAAGCTTTATATATTAAGAAAATAATATTTAACTGATAGCTGGAAAAATTCTTTCAGTTTACAATTAAGTTTCATACTTTAAGGATTTTGTTATTTTTGTACTTTTAATTATAAATAAAAATGTGTTCTTTCAAAGTACACTTTCACGTGTTTCTATTCTGTCCATTTCTGAAAAATACGCTATTCAGTCTTATATAAAATTATTCAGATACATTCAGGTTGTAGTAGGAGCGTCATAATCATATCACATTGTTGTTTGTTTGCGTTTAAAACTTGAAATTAGCATTACACACACAGAGAGAGAAACACACATAGATACATAATCTGGACCACCCCGCCCCGGTCCCGCCCAGCGGCCCGACCCCACGGAGAACAGACGGCGGGTCATGTGACAGCAGCGGTTCGTGAACGACAAAAGCGGACTCACACAAATGCTCTGCCACAGTGAGACACACACACACACAGAGGAGTTTCGTAACTTGGGGAAGTTTTACGGAGCCATCGATCACAGATCTGTCTTGTTGTTGTTTTTTCCTTGATGTCAGTGACACAGCGGAGCACCGAGCGTCGCCTGCGTCACCTTTTCAGCGGAGAGTCTAATTGAGTTTCTCCCTGGGAAGGGAACCTGTGCCCTTCAGCAAGGCAGCCGTGAAACCACCGTCTCTCCTTGCAGGAACAGACCGTATACCCCATCTGAGAGGTAAGTCTGACTCGGTGACTTTCTTGACAGCATTGTGTCCGCCGGGCTGCCTCACAGGCTGACCCCGGCACGGTCTAAATTTCCTATCGGATGTGCGGTAAAGTCAGTAATTGCAACGTGGTCTTTTAATAAAAGCTGGATGTGGTAGTGGGATTGATGTAGACTATTATTCCTAATAGATTACAGCAGGGAGAAGTAGTCCATAAATTAAATTTGCGGGTCGGGGTTTTAATGAGAACAGACGGCTCGTGAGTAATTTGAGGTTTGATTAATTAATTAGTTAATTACTCACAGCTGTTTTCGGTTCCGTGCCTTCAAATTTCGGGGATCAGAATGTTTGCTTAATTTATCTTCCTATAAGACTGACAGTGGTGAACGTTGTTCTTCTTAATTTAATGATTAATGAGCTCAACACTGGCTGTAACTTATGTAACCCGACTTTAGGCTGTTACAAGTCACGGGGAGACGATGCTATTTTGGGCTTTCAGAGCCTTTTGAAAACTCAGGCTGTTGTTAATTAACATAAATGTGGGTTTATTTGTGTATGTGTCTTTTCCCCCCATCATCAAATAACACGATATGTTATTTCTTTGTTATATAGATGTAGATTATAGTAGTTAGTTATTAGTTAGTTAAGTTATTACTTGGGGATCCTTTTTATCTACTAATTACTACCTCGTTTTTTTATTTTGTTACATTTTAGTAAGTTTGGAGAAGTACATTTTAGATAATTTAAAAATGGATTCACTTTTTTTTTTTTTTTTTTTTTTTTTATGTGAGTTGGGGGGAAGAAATATTTCCATATAAGGAAAACGGCAACATTTTGAGAAATGGGTGTTTGCTGGGCTCATCAAGTGAAATGAATCATAAGGACTATCATATTTATTGCTGATTATTGCGCACATGATTCATTTATTCATAGATTGTGAAACTGTAGAGGCTGACGGTGATGCAGAATAGAGCAGTGATTTGAAAGATGAGCCTCAGATTTTGCTGTGTGTCTGTGCTGAGTTCAGTTGCAGATGGGAAAATATGTGACAGGTGTGTGTGTGTGGGTGAGGGTGACGGAGAGGGCATCTGATTGTTTGTTTTTTTTTCCCCCAAACTGTCACACCTGAGATGTTGTTTCAGTCCTGTTGTGTCACTGCATTCTTTACAATACACATCTCTCTTGTACTCTCCCTCTGTGTTTCTGTCTCTCCTCGTTTCCTGTGCTTTGTTTCAAGGCTGAGGCTTGCGTCACACATTCCACTTGGCATATGAAGCCCTTATCCTGTTTAGAGCCTGGAGAGAGAAAGACGGGAGGAGAGAGGGAGAGAGATGTGGGGGGTGGATGGGTGGAATGAGGGCGACATCTCTCCCCTCCCTGTTGCCTGAAGTTTGTACTTTTGTTTCACTGTAGAGCAGAAAAAAAAACGGATGAGTCGCTGTTCCGTTTGTGTGCTACCTGTTTATTTGTCTGGCATTAGCGCAGTTAGGGCAGCACAAACACGCACACACGCCCCAAATACTCCACCCATCCCTACGCCTTTTTTCCTGAATCAACATGCTGATGTTATCTGGTGGAACAAAATGCGCAAGACTGTGTGTACACACGCACACACATATGCACGCGCACACACTCTGCTCAAAGGGCATGTCCTAGGGAACATTAGGGCTAAACATTAAACGGGTGGATGTTGAGTAGTTGGTGATTCTCCATGAGAAGTTGAGGAAATAAGGACACGCTGCTCCACAGGCGGCCATAAACGTGAAAAGCTGTGACTAGTTGCACAAGTTTGCAGAGTGACAGGACATGGATGCTTAAACACAGCCACGTTAGAGCACAAACACACACCGAAGACTTGTGTGTTCAAACCACTGGATTGAGCCACTGTGACTGTGTAGCTCCTTCTTTACTGCCCCCCCCCCAATGTTTGAGGTTCATTGAAGTTTTGTCATATTTTGGTTGAAACCCACTTCATTTTCTTCCCCATTTCTCTCTCTGCCCTGTTCTTTCCACTTCCATTTTGACATAGTTTGGTCAGAGCGGCTGTTTTCTTTGCCCTTTCTCTCCTTCCAGCCCCCCACCCCACCTCTCTTCTCTCAGACTAGGGAGGTGTAATATGTGTGTGGAGTCAAACAGGAAACCGCAGGCCCCCTGCAGCAGCACCCCCCTTTTGGCTTCGCTCTCCTCTTCCTCCTCCTCCACCTCCTTCTCCTCTGTACACCCCCCAACCCATCACGCAGTGTGGAAATAATAACAGTCAGACTAAACTCTAAGGGCTTCCGCTTCTCTCCCTCTCCTCTTGTTCTCTCCTTCCCTCTGTCCTCAGTTGTCTGGAAAGCCTCAAAACGCTGCGCACTCTCTCGCGCACCCCGTCAAGTTTGACTTGAGGTGCGCGTGTGTGTCTCTGTCAGTGTTTGAGCCTCGCGACCAGATGAGTCTGGTGTGTCTTTAAATGTGTGTTTCTGAGATGATGGATCCTGTTTCCTCTCCCCTGCTGATGGCCCCCCTCTGGCTACCCCACCCCACCCCCCACCCCGAGGTCTGCAGGCCTGCAGCCTCATAGTGTAGTTGAGAGGAGCTCAGGGGGACTACATGCCCGTGTGTGTGTGTGTGTCTTTGGGGGCGTAAAAATACGAGAAGTGGGCTGCGTGGCTCAGATGAGGGAATGGGAAGCCAAAATAAGAGGAATGGGGGGGGGGGGGGGGTGTAAGCAAGGGCCTTAAAGCGAGAGGAGTCAAAATTGGAGCATGTGCTGGGTTATTAGGGGAGTCATGAGCAGGAAGTGAGGTAAGGGTTGAAAGCAGGGAGCAAGGGGCTACACTTGGGAGTGAGAGCTTGAAAGAGGGAATAAATTGGAATGAGTGAGGGGCAACAGAAGAAGTGTGGCGCAATGAGAGAGTACTTTAGGGAGAGGTCAGGAAAGGGAAAAGTTAAATGTTGGAATAATATTGGATGAGTACCTGGATGAGTCATGCAATTAGGATGTTAAATTAAGACTAATGGGTGCCTTCCCTGAAGAGTGTGAATAGGTAGTGAGTTTGTATGTGAGGTTCTCCTTGAGTCGACTGATATCACGACATGAAGCATTACAGGACTGTCACAAGGTGAGAATGACTTGGGTGAAGACGGGGTAAAGATTTGGAAGAGGCTAGAAGACGCTAGGCTGAAAATGTGTGTGAGTGTATTGTGGCATGTTCTTGGACAAAGATGTTGTCTGGAGGTTTTTGGTCTCTCTGGTGATCTCATCATCTCCAGCCTGTTGCCATTAGAGAGAGACTTTGTGTGTGCCGGCCAGCTTTTGTCTGCGTGTGTTCCAGTATGTGTGCGTGTCTGTAATAATTTAGTCCTTTTAGTGATTTAGTGTGTGTATTCTGTTGAGCTAGCAGAAGTGTGTGTGTGTGTGTGTGTGTGTGTGTGTGTGTGGCCAAGGAGTCCAAGCCACAATATTTTCCCCTTCAGTCATGTTGTTTTATAACATTCACAGAGGGGGAGAGAATAAGAGTGTGGGGTGGTGTGCGGTTCAGATAAATACAGTAGTAAAGACATGAGCGATTGCTGGGGAGCGAGTGGAGTGGAGTGGAGAAGATTCCAGGGGTGGAGACGCAATAGAGGGGTGTAGAAGGTGTTTGCAGAGTGGGTTGGGGCTGAATACACAGTAGTTCCACTGACCTAGAAGGACAATATTTGCGGACATGCACAAACTCAAACCCAGTAGCAGGAAAAAAAAAACTAGCCCAAGTAGGGCGACTTATTTATCGTGATGATGCAGGAGTTTGGTTGGTTTGTTTGTTTGTTTGTTTTTACCTGGAAAGGCAATAAAGGAAAAGAGTGCTGACTAATTCCTGTCCTCGAGCATGTCACTTCAATTTCTTAGAAAATAAGAGCACATTCAAGTGAGAGCTATAACAAATGCAGTCAGCCTGCTGCTGCGTAGAAACAAATAATAGGAAAAATATCCAAATTAATTAAACCAAAGATATTCAGGTTTATGTCTTATAAGAAAGAACGCTTCACATTTTCACCATGGAATATGTTTTTGTTTTGTTTTTTTTAATTTTTTTCTTCCTGTGGGAACTTCTTAAACGGTTAATTCAGTTATCAGAAATGCTGCTCCAGCTGCAGCTTATCTCTAATCTGCTGAGGCCTTGTGGCCACTGAGGAAGATGCTGCACGGCTGAGTGAAATTTCTTTCCTGTGATTGTTACATTTGTGCGACTCATTGTGCTTATTCTTTCATGAGACACCCAGAGGGAAAGTTTCTCCCTCCTCTGCTTGCCATCCTGCTGTCACACGTTATCTGATGACTCCTTTCTGTTCATTTTCCTGTGTGGTAAAACCCAACCACTAGGCACACGCCTGTCTTTGGATTAAAGCAAATAATGTGAATTATTTGCCGTCCCTGCTGCACGACACCGGGCTCTGACACCATCGGCCAAATCCTCCCCTGCGTTTACTCGTACCTGTGGCCAACTAACCAGCTGCCAAGAACTCGTTTTCGCGTCTGTCGTGCAAAAGTGTTAATGAAAGGGGAAATGCAAGACTATGTATAACAGGTGAACTCTGAGACCAGCATGTTCCTGTCACTGCACGCATTCTTTCAAAGAATTTAACATGCACTGAGCGATGCGCATTTTGTTCAGTGAGAGATGAAGCCAGATAAGTGAGGCTCTGAACACTTTGCTTGTGAATATACATGTTCTCACTTACAGGCGTACACAGCCCACACCTGCCCAGCCCTGAAGTCAAAAGATAATTAACACTTCCTGTATGACAGAGCCTAAAGGAGCCTCTGAGTTACTCGTGCCTGCCTTGCACTGGTGACAGCATAACATTTTCCAGTTTTCCGATCCATTCTCATATATTAAATATCTCTTGAGCGCCTTGAGGGAATTTCTCCAAATTTGGCTCAAATGTTCACTTGGATTCAAGGATTTACTGATTAGAATTGGCAAAGATTGAGAGTACCGTGGCCCCCGACGATATCCGAAGAACACCTGACGGAGATTTTGTCACAAACATAGACTTGTACTCGGGGATGAACTGATTAGACTTTGGTGACCTTACACATTTGGTGAGGTACTGATAGTGACGCTAATCACTGAAACCTGGCTCTGTGTTCGTCTGCTCAAGATCCGGAGGAGACACGAACTCAGCCTCATGGACGCGAGTGTCAGTCCAGAGCTCGGATAAATAGGAGGGTTACGTCAGGAAGGGCATCCGGTGTAAAATCTGTGCCAAATCAAACATGCAGATCCATCTGCTGTGGCAACTGCTTAACAAGCAGCTGAAAGGAGCTTCTTCCTCTATTAAGTACATCTATATAGTTTGTATATAACAGGATATAACTGACAACTTAACTGGTATAGAATTACAAATCTACAGTAAGTTTAAAGGAAAAATAAAAACAAGGAAAATAAGGTTTGCTTAATATTGTGGTGATGTGGACATGGCATGAGACAATAACTATTTTAAAATGTCATCTTGGACTTTGGGACATTGTCGTGCATGTTTGTGACGTTTGGGACCAGAACATTTTCTAGTCGCGGTTTCTAATGTTTTTCATCAGTGACACCTTGTTCGCAGATGGGATTTTGTTTATTGTGTGTGTTTGTTTCTGGCAGACCTTCTGCTTCTTTAATACACAGCAGGTATTTGCTGCTTTCTTTTCCTTAATCTGTCCTTCTTTTGGGGGGTTTTGTCAGTGATTTTGTTTTTCTTCCTTCTTCTGTTTGTGTTTCATACTTGGTCTCATTGTCACCTTAATGTGTGATTTACAATGACAATAGAACAACTGCTTGACCTCAAGTTGAACTACAGTACAATACAAACCCAGATTAGAAAACACGCCCTCAAAACACACACAGTTCCCACCTGACGGTAGGCTCTTTGTTTCTTTGGAGCCGGGCAAAGGGTGAGGCTTCAGTCGTCATGTTCACACCCTTCCTGAGCCAGCTAGTGAGCATCCTGGTTCACCATTGGTCTGCTCACCATCTGGTGTGTGTGTGTGTGCGCGTGTGTGCATTCCTATATGTGTGCGCTAGGGTGTAATGACTTGTTCTTGCCCATTTGTTAATAATTAAAGGCTAACTTGTCTTCAGACTGTGGACTTTAATCAGGTCACACACACAGAGACTCCCTCAGGGTACATTCTTTGACAGTTCATGTTGCCTTAATGCACCAGCAGACGCGCACACACACAAGCACACAAAGAAGCTAATAAACACCCTCATGTAGCACAAGCAGAGTCATCCCAGCTGCACCTGGCCATTCAAAGCCAAGGTAACTGGAAACACCTTTGAAACCTCACACGCTTTTGATCCAAAATACTCGACAAGCTTTTGTGTGTGTGTGTGTCCCATTTCTCAGATACGGGGCAGTTTCTAGCTGCATCACACCTGCAACCGGTTGCATTCTCGTTAAAAAAAACCCAATCCCTTTAATTCACAAGTCTGAATGTCGAGTGTTTTTGATTGACATCGGCAGTGCTATCTGTCAAACGGAGAGTACCTGTTTGAAAACATGACTGAGTGGTGAAAAAAGAGGAGATGATGTGTCAAATTTGACAGGAAAAAATATGTCTGGGGCTGAACCAACGTTGATCGTGCCCTCGCGGTCTCCGTTACTTAAATACAGACCCTGTCACATCATTCCCTCTACTTAATGTGATTTATTTTTCATTACGTCACAAAATGTGTGTTTTGGTGTGGTAGTGTCTTGCCATAAGAAGAAGATACACGAACAAGGTGGACGTTGGGGCTATATGTAACTAAGGGTATCTGCTTATCCGTTTTCAGGCGCTCTGACCACAAGATCCGTCTTGTGGTCAGAGCGCCACAAGGTCTCCTGAGGCAAATTGGTCCTGGGTGAGGGGCATGACAAAGTGCGATTCAGAAAACACTCCACCTTGATGCCAGACTTGGGCTTGCTGGCCAAGTGCCTGGCAGATGGACTTTAAGCCCGTGGTGCAGCATGGTCCACCCTCCTGTGGAGGAGGACAAGCTGCAGTGGTTGGAGTTTTGTCAGTCAGGCAGCAGACAAAGGAAAGTCTGCAGCTGTAGTTACTCGTTAGCATTCATGTTGAGACTGTTCGCACATGGCTATATTTAAAATTTTAAACTGTGAGAGAAAATAAAAAATTTGACAGAATTATTCTTCTACTTTATTCTGACCATTAATTATGACCTCAGATTTAGGTTCTCTACCGTTTTTGTGTTTTTCTTTTTTTGGGGGGTCACTTATACTCACACAGGGGAGTGTGATAGAGGTGCATTATCTGAAGGATGTGTCCTTTTGCTTTTAGTACTTTAAGTAGAGAGGTGACAAATGTTTGAATAAGTGTTTCTACAATGTTGCATTGGTGCATAAAGTAAATTATTATCAAGAGTGTGAGCTTAGTGTGTAAATGTCTTCCCTGTATATTGATTTTTGGTGCTGTGTGTATTCTGCAGGAGTCTGGCGTGTGCAGCCATGCTGATGTATGATTACCCTCCGAAGACAGACATTCAGCCGGTAAGGTGTGTGTGTGCGTGCGTGTCTGTGCGTGCGTGTCTGTGCGTGCGTGTCTGTGCGTGCGTGTCTGTGCGTGCATGTCTGTGCGTGCATGTCTGTGCGTGCATGTCTGTGCGTGTACGTGTACTCACATTATCATGCCTGGACATGTTTTTGATACCAAACAGCAACCCCTACACACACCTATACGTGTCTAGACAGACTGGTTCCCACATTCCAGCTCTTCCTGGACAAACAGGCTAATGTACAGTGGACATTTGCAAACAATATCTACGCACCCTGCCAGGCAGTGGGCTAATGAACACACACACACTGTATTCTGAGACAAAACAGTTATCTGCTCCCAAACAGAGCGGTGTTTAAATTTTTTGGCTGGCTGTAATTGTTTGTGTGGCAAAAACATGTTTTCCCTGCCATTCAAAGCAGAACGGAAATTTTTAACCCTCTGCTCTTTTGTCCTCCTTTTACTGCTTCCTCTTCTCTCTACATCCTCTCTTTCACAGTCGTTCTATCCTGGAGTGATCTTCCCCCATCCGCCGCACTTCTACAGAATGCACCCCCTGTCCCACTCTCACACCCCGACCGGGCTGACACACACCCAGATGGAGCCCGTGGACCTGTCTGTCAACAAGCACTCATCTTCCAAGTCCCCTCCCTGCTCCTCTGCGTCGACCCCAGCGTCCCCTCGCAGCTCCCCTGCCTCGCCTTACAGCTCGGCGAGCCGCACCTCTTCCCGCAACTCACCCCCACACACTCAGTTGCGCTCCTCGCCCTCCCACCCTCTCCCGCCGCCCACTTCCTCCCTTCCATGTCCCACCATTGTGTCTCCGGGGGGCCCAGGGGTCATCCCAAAGTCCCAGATCATGGTTTCTCAGATCGTACTGCCTCTGCCCATTCTCCCCTATTACTCGCCACATTTGCTGAACCAGCCAATAATGATGAACTCACCTGCCAGCAGCGACGATGACCGTTTCAGGAGCTGGGAGCCCAAGATAGGTGAGAGCTTATTTTATGTTTTTGTGCCTGCAGTTCAGTGTTTGTGTTGCAACTGTACATGAAGCTAAAAACAAAACAAGAAGTCATTAGAGACTCACATTAAAAACACATCAGTGCAGGAGTCATCGTGAAATGTATCCATTTCATGTTGTTACTGCATTTAAATCACATCACTTTGTGGCATTTTCTTGTTAAATTTGCAAAAATCGTTTACTGATAAATTATCAGTAAACGATTTTTGAGAGAATGATGATTGATTGATTTCAGAGAGAATGAAAAATTATCAGTGATAATGAGGAAATGTTTTTCATTCCCTCTGTTCTTAGAATAGCACCTTTTTTTTCTTTTTTTGGAGGGTGGGGGGAAGTAATCAGCTGTTTGCCACTGTGATCCGCAGAAGTCTTTGACCTGTCGCAGAGACAGACACACAGCATACGGCTACCAGTTTGTTTGCCGTGGCCTTTCCTAGAAGGACTTCTAAAGTAGCAAAAACACAAAAAATATAGCGGAAGTGTTTAAACCTGACTGGTCCAAAAGGCTGAGAAGAAAGGTTTCAGTCTAAACTTGACCTCGTGATGGTGCTAGAAGAAACTTTAAGGAAAAAGCCACACTGATAGGATTTATCCTCTTGGACCTTAGATGCCTGATTTATTTATTTATATTGTCAGTTCACACATTGTTTCATCCCTACCCAGTTCACCCAACGAAGCCTCTTGAGCCGCGAAGTGATACCCACGACCTGCACAAGCCAATCAAAATCGAGACTGAACCCGCTCATGACCCCAGCAGTCACGAGAAGTCATCAGTCAGAGTGATGCCACGCGAGTACGAGTAAGTAAACCCTCACGCTGGTGGTGGTGGCCACACACTTCACGTCCCCTGACTCCACACTCCTGTTTCAGTAGCATTTTTGACTCACTCCCTGCTGCCGAAACTCTTATTCTCTGCTCCCTAATCTGAGCTTTTGTTCCGCGTGTTTAAAACAAAAGCATGTTGTCGAGATCATTACATATGCAACGGAATACAACCTACAGTCTTGTTATTAGAGAGTCCTGTCATAAGATATGACTGTTCTTTGCATGTCACTGTAGTTTAAACCCTGTTGGTTTCTGGGGCAGTCCCGGGATCAGGGCGGTGTGGTTCTTATTAGCGGGCAGCCAGTAAGAGCCTTGTGGGATTAGGGGGGGAAAAAAAGAAAAACACTGACCGAACTGCGTGAACTTAGTGGTTATATCCGATATTTTAGAGCTTATCTCACTCTGATGGAACATAATTGTTAAAATTTTGCTCCATTTCCAAGTCATAAAACAAACTTTTTGTTTCCAAATGTATTTTATCATCAGCTTGATAACACATTAGAAAATGATCTGTCTCCAGCCTAAGTCTGGACACAGTTCTGTTTCCTTCATGTTTGTGGAGCCATAATTTAATTTATTTATTTATTTTGTCTTTAAAGTGTAGTGCTCTTCACAGAAGCAAGAATCTAGAGTGTATATTTGCTCGGGTTTGTGTCACCATCAGGCTATTTGTTATTGTCTGTTTTATTCTTTTGTCCCACTAATAGAGTTTCAGCCACTGGGGAAGTACAGAAGAATATTTATCCTTTTATTTTCCATCAGGCCCAATAGCCATGCCTCACATTAGAAGCTCTTTTCTTTCTTTCCTTATCTAAGACGTCACAAGTTCATGCCAGCCATCTGGGTCCTGTTACCACCTTCATTCTTCTTCCTACTGTTTATGTTTGGGTTATTTCTTCTTCTTCTGCTTCCTCCTCCCCTCATTCTCCCTCATTATTATTATTATTATTATTATTATTGTTATTGTTATTATTACTGTTATTATGATTTATTTATTTATTAAGCTTTGTGTTCATTGTCCAACATCTCCCCTGCACTTTCTTACCTTCCTCTTCCGGTCCCCTCCCCTCTGCAAAATATGTTTTTCCTCAGAAGAAATAATTGCAAGTTGGATGCACATGTAATAGTCAGCCCTTGCTGGCAGCTAGTGTATGTCCGTGTTTGTGTGTGTGTGCTGTGAAGTAGACCTCGTTTTTTTTACTTTGGCTGTTAGGGCGGTTCCCTTTACAGGCTGCTCTTGTCATCGTGCCAAACATGAAATAATTGGACCCTAAAGGGAAAAAAGAGGGTGCGTCTTTGTGTGTCATCACAACTTGTCAACAAAGCACACACACATCCTCATAAACAATATGTACGTACAGTTGCTATACGCTGCATTGTGTGTGTGTGTGTGTGTGTGTGTGTGTGTGTGTGTTTTAGGGGATTTTCTGCACATTCCTTTATGCAGAATTGATCTGTGTGGAATCATGTTTCAACACTCAACACCTGCTCTCAACTGACACACACACACACACAGAGTGATGAAAGACAACTCCTTCTCTCTTGTAACTGTAAAACTTGTACATTTTGTGCGTTTGTTTGCACACACAAAGAAACAGGACTTAATGTGCTCTGACTGGAAACAGTGTAGCAGATTCACCTGCCGTTTGACAGTTTTCAGTCTCCTGGAGTTGGTCAAGGATAAATTTATAAACATTGATTGACAGAGGTTGACAGGGCAAGGCAAAGGTGTGGCTGACTGGAAAAGGCGGGGTTTTCAGCTTCCTGCCTGGCAGAAGTTGTTATTGCATTGAAGCCAAGTTAAACTGTGGGTTTCAGTGTCATAAGAGAGGGCTTTTGCTCCCTCTGCTGGCAGCATTAGACAAAGATGGACAAAGCACCATCTTTGTGCTTTAAAATCTTTTTCTACCCTTTGTGTGTTTCTTTTAGAGGTAACAACCCATCAGTAATAGTCCACTCGGGCACAAGGCACCCTTTCCCTGCTGATTCACCTGACACACTGAAAAAACGGAGGATTCATCGTTGTGACTTCAGCGGCTGCGACAAAGTGTACACCAAGAGCTCCCACCTCAAAGCACACCGCAGGACACACACAGGTGAGCCTTCATTCATATACCAGCCGTGCTTTTCCAGAAGCCTTAAACTTTTTGACATTTTCTAACAAACCTCGTGTAATTTCCTCTCTTTGCAGGGGAGAAACCCTACAGGTGCAGCTGGGAAGGCTGCACATGGAAGTTCGCCCGTTCAGACGAGCTGACGAGACACTACCGCAAGCACACGGGAGTCAAACCGTTCCACTGTCCCGACTGTGACCGCAGCTTCTCCCGCTCTGACCACCTGGCTTTACACAAGAAACGACACCTTCTAGTGTGAAACCGTCTGCCGTGCAACTTGAATGCAACTCTGTGCTGGGTTCAGTGTTGGACTACACCACTTTGACTTTAAAATGAAATGGCTGGCCTTACCTGGAGTGCGACAGGGAGTGAGGAAATGTTTCCTCAGGGTTAATGTTTAAACCCTTTCACCTCATTAAGCCAAAGAGAGAAAAAAAGCTGGTTGCCAGCTCACACATTTAAGACCAGCTCATTTTTATAGAAATATGGTAGCTGAACCAAACCTCTGATCAGCTGTGGAACGGCCAGACACTTTTTTTCTTTTTGCTTGCAGCTCCTCAGCTGGCCTGAGAGCAGCGCCCTCTTGTGGCTACACAACCAAAACAGCAGTTCAGTCTGTGCAAGCCACATGGCATGCTCACAAGCTTCTCAGCGCAACATGATCTCCAGCTTTAAAGCTTTTTGTTTCACATGCATTCAAGTGAACATTTGGGACTTGGACACACACTTACAAATACATATTTTTTTTTGCTCGCTACGCCAATACAATGTGAAACGTTCCAGAATGTATCCTATCACGCCTACTGTGCATTGTGTCATAGATACTTCAGCTTTTCTTCTTTCTTTTTTTTTTCTTTTTAAAACACTCGTGCCAACTTCCTCCTTCGGGGTCTGCTATAATTAAAAAAACAAACACACCACACACCTCATCTGCCTCTGCAAGCTCAGATCATGAAGTGATGACAGGTTGCTAACGCTCGCTTTCTCTTGTACATACACTCTCTTATTAAAAGCAGCTCAGCCTTGGTTTCGTGTACTCTTGGGTTTTAACAGTCTAGTGGGTAGTTTCAGTCAGTGAAGTGTTTTTGTTTTCATTCAGAAATGTGAAAGTTGCTGCACAGGGGCATTAATGTGTCGGTGAGGAAAAAGACACCACTCGGTCAGTTTAAGGGTAGAAGCAATGAAATTGTGTCTTTACTGATTTCTTATGTTGAGTTTGTGTATCTATGAACTGTGTTTCGGTTTGTGACATGACACCGAGGTAGCTTTTATTATTGTGTCACACTTTGATACGGGGTGGGGAGAAAATGCAAAATGCAAGGCAGGGAAATTTTTAAAAAAAAGTTTTTTAATTTTGTAATTTTTATATTCAGGAGCAGTTGAGTTATATTCCAGCCCACTCTACACATACATTTGTTTTAAAAAAAAAAAATTAACTTGTACACAATTAATACTTTATCATTCCCCAAAAAAGTCAAATCAGGGATTATTGTTGTAGCAGATATTCTGCTACCAAACCTTTTTTTTTTTTTTTTTAAAGTGCCATAAAGGTTTTTAGAGCACAATTTTCCACAGCTGGAGAGCAATACACTTTCTCTCTTTTTTTAAATGGCGCCTTTGTACATCTCCAATGTGCACTTTATATATATTTTATAAATATATATATAAATAGTATGTATGAGTACATTATTTAACAATCCCAAAGCCAGACATTTTAAATCACATCAGGTTTTTTTTTGTTTTGTTTTTTTT